TTATAGCTTCTCTAAGGGCTTGCTTCTCCTTTAGTGTATCTAATGAATCAAATTAGATGAGGCATAAACAATCTTAACTTCCTAAAATTAGTTTAAAATCAAAAGTTATGTTAAGTGTCAAGCTAACAATTACAGCAAGGATTGTATTACTTTTATGATCTCTTCTGAGAATACAAAATCTCTGTGGCTAGGGATTTTTATTTTATTCATTAAAATAACTCAAATGCCAAAACAGTATCCAATATACAGTAGGCCCTCAATAAATATTAAATAATTCAACTTTATTGGAGCTAACTAGTTTAAAGATATTCTATTTGACATCAATAACTTAAACATTTGAAATCCCAACTTTCCCTTTTGGTTCTCATTCTTTAATTTTAAGCTAATAGAAGTTAGTACTATAATAAATAATATTATATATGTATACTTATATATTTACTGTATATTTAATCATAATATATATTAAACACTGCTAATAATAGTTCATTTAGTATGTTTTTATTTTAAAAATACTCTCTAGGTCTATAAGATTAAAAAGGAAAAAGTAATTCTCTGGTCTAGGAAAAAGCAAATATTCCTGTTGTGAACACCTTAACGTAACTTTTCTCATCAGCCTTCACAGAGAGAACATCATGCAATGTAAAGAATATTCTTAGCAATAGTAAGCTAAACACAGCAACATATTTTGCAGAAATATTTTTCCAAAAGTTCTTCCACTTAAGCCAAAATATAACTCATTATAAGCAAAGCTATGGTAAGCAAAAATTATATGGTTAAGATAGTTATTTTCTGTGCTGACTTAATTGAAGGATAGTTTTTATTTTTATTATTTATTTCTCATTTAATTTCCTCCCCAGTTTTATTGAGATATAACTTTTTTTTTTTTTTTGGCTGCACCTCACCGCTTGTGGGATCTTAGTTCCCCAAGCAGGGACTGAACCTGGGCCACAGCAGTGAAAGTTCAAAGTCCTAACCAGGTAATTTCTAAGGTACAACTCTTTAGAGCTGTGGTCTCCTAACTTTTTTACAATTTTTACAAATTTATTTACGGCTGCACTGGGTCTTCATTGCATGCAGGCTCTCTCCAGCTGAGGTGAGCGGGCGCTACTGTCTAGTTGCGTAACATAGGCTCCAAAGCTCTAGAGTAGGTGTGGTGCGTGGGTTCAGTTGTCCCAAGGCATGTGGGATCTTCCTGGAGCAGGGACTGAACTTGTGCATTGGCAGGAGGATTCTTAACCACTGGACCGCCAGAGAAGTCCTTTCCTAACTTCTTTGGAACATACTGCCCCATCAGTTTAAAAAATATGTGAGCATATACCCTCTATATACAATTTATATATACATGTTGACTCCATGGAATTCAGGCGTGTACAGATTTTCCTCAATTTATGATGGGGTTAAACCCCAATAAATCCATTGAAAGTTGAAAATATCATAAATTGAAAATTTATTTAATACACCTAGCTTAGTCTAACCTACCCTTAAATCGGGCAAAATCATCTAAGACAAAGCTTATTTATAATAAATTGTTAATATATAGTAAATAAATAAAGCTTATAATAAATTGTTGAATATCTCATGCAATTTATTGAACAGTGGGGCTTCCCAGGTGGCACAGTGGTAAAGAATCTGCTTGCCAATGCAGGAGACACAGGAAATGCAGGTTCAATGCTTGGGTAGGGAAGATCTCCTGGAGGAGATCTTGGCAACCCACTTCATGAACAGAAGAGCCACGGGGTCACAAAGAGACACGACTGAGAGACCAAGAATGCGGCACACACGTACTGAGAGTGAAAAACGAATGGTTACATGGGTGCAGAAGAGAGGCATGGTTGTTTACTCTATGGTTGACTGGGAGTTGTGGTTTGTCGCTGCCACCTGTAAGGGCACTGTACCACATATCACTAGGCCAGGAAAAGATCAAAATTTGGATTTCTACTGAATTTATACTGCTTTTGAGCCATCATGTAGAGTTGAAAAATCTTGAGTTGAACCATCCTAAGAAGGGACTGTCTATTTACACATACACATATATGTAAATGTGCACTAATACATTATATATTATAAAATATACACAAAATGGAAACTTTAAAAAGATAAAGTAAGTACTAACAGAAGTTCTACTGTTTTCTTCCTATAGTCCAAAGTTTCATTTTGTGCATCCTTTGGGACAATTCACCCCATTCTGGAGCTCATAAATACAAATGAAAGATACTTTTCCACTAATAATTTTTTTCCCCCAAACTAAGCTTTTAAGTAAACATTGGGCAGCATGATTTTTACAGTAAACACTGGACAGCATACTTTGACAGTCAGGAGACTGTGGGGGGACTGAGAACTGAACTTGCCAGGACACACATTTGGATAGAACTCTATTCTTACTCTAAAGAAGTAGATGATTATGTGCCATAGACAATATGTAGATAAATGCACGATGAAGACCACAGGTCTAACTATACATATATAGAATGCAATATTCTAAGTCTAATAGGTATTTATATAAAGACATATTCTTGTGACTTGTCTAGACATATTTGTCAATGATATGATTAAATCTCAAAAATTTAGAACCCAGCCTTGCATATTACTGTGAAAACCTCCAATATGTGAATCCAGTCTAATGATGATTAGATATATCATTTAATGATTCAAAAACACACTATAATGTAAACTAGTACACAAAAACCTTGAATATTCCCTGTTAAGTCTTAGAACAATAGTTTCCTCAGATTTTATTCAATACTTGTGACAATCAACAAGTTATATTTTTCATGTTTCTTCATTACTGCATTGGTGTGCCTACAACTTTTTAATCACAATTTTGCAGTGATGCGTATTCTTACTCCGGATATTAGTAAATAAGAGAGAACTAACACTAACATTTGTTGAAAGTCTATGTGCAAACACAGCTACATTTTACAGACAATACATCACTTAACTTTCACAACAATCCTTAAATGGTGATAATTCAGTTCAGTTCAGTTTAGTCCAGTCGTGTTCAACTCTTTGTGACCCCATGGACTCCAGCACGCCAGGCTTCCCTGTCTATCGCCAACTACCGAAGCTTGTTCAAATTCATGTCCATTATTTTGGAGATAATTATTATTCCCATTTTATATATTAGAGCTAAAGTTTAGGGGATTCAAGATCAAGGTCACACTGGTCAATCTGGCTTCAAAGTCTAGCTCCTTCCATCACACTGAAAAAAGGGTTACAATAACTGAACTAGTCCAAGAGTATCTAGTTAAAATACAAGATCTACAAACCAATCTCAAAAGAAAGATAATTCCCTTTCATTCTAAAAGTTGAATAAACTATTATAAACAATGACTATAAGTGGTTAAAGCCAAGACCCTGGAAAAGATCACTATAAAACTACCCTCCAATTCTGTTTTAAAGTAGTTTAAAATTGTTCCTCCTCTAGCCTGTCTTTATCCTACAGACCAAATACAAAGCTTAAGAGGGTCAGCACTGACTACAAGAATTCAGTTGAGACTAAAGCCGAGGGACTTCCCTGGTGGCCCAGTGGTTAAAACTTGGAGTTTCCAATGCAGGGAATGAGCATTCAGTTCCTGGTTGAGGAACTAAGATTCCCCACATGCCAAACAATTGGCCAAAATCATGCAGGCCATAATCATGCCATAATCACGCCATACAGTGTGGCTGAAAAAAAAAAAAAAAAAAGATTATTACAGAAGCATTGCTCAACTCTTCCTCCTGAAAATCTCTGCCACAAAACAGAGGACAATTTCCAAAAACTGTGTCTTAAAGAAACAAAAAGCAAATAAACTAATCTTCTTCATTAATAAAAATCTCTCCTTAAAGGTCAGTTTTATAGAGGGTAAACTACTGCAATAAATAATATTATACTAAAGCATAATTCCAAGACACAGATTAATCCATTATCAAACTTGGAAATCAGATTTAACAATCATCTTAGATTCCCAAGAGCTGCTTCATAGTCAGCTATGTGGGGAGGTATACAACTTTCCTAAGGACACCGACTGCAGAGATAGATTCAACCATGTAGAGAAAAGGGCCACAGGGGGGTTGCACTTCAATCTTTCTATTTATAACACACTTTCTCCTTTGCTAAGTCTTAGGCTTGAAAGTGACTTCAGAATGTACCTGGTTTGAGTTCCCAGCCAAGTAAGTACTATTACTAACGTTTATATAAGAGGTAACAGGATTTTAGACCTTAAAATAAAGAGTTGGAGGCATTGGGATCTTCCAGTTTCTTACAGAATTATTTTTTCAACTACAAGAACGCTGTTTTCCAATAGGTTAAAGAGAGAGCTAATATTTATTGAGCGTTTACGAAGAATCAAACACATATGTTATCTTTAACTTTCACATCGACCACATTTCACAGAAACTAAGATCTAGGATTTTACCCAAGGTCACATCTACAGTTAGCAGCAGAGCAGAATTTAAATCCAGGTCTGTTCACACAAAAAGGTTCAGAAGGAGCTTGTTCAGTAGTAATTTAGGATAGAGTTAAACAAACTAGACCTAGGAATGACACGGACTCAGAAACTGGCTAAGGCTTCTGCAGGCCTGTCAGCTGGAGCTGAAGGAAGTATGACCTTTACTCCAAACACTCTGGGGCGGTAAGACAGCTCTTCTGCGCGTGGGTCAATATATCACTACTCATGGAAGGAAAGGGGAGAGAATGAGGTTTCCTGGTGGCCCAGGCCCTTTTCTGGCCGCAGAAACGGAGAAGGGTCAAACCAAGAGGCCTGGTCCGGATCTGAGTGGTGCCTAAGAGAAGCAGTGCAACAAAGGTCGCAAAGGGCGCAGACTTGAAAATCACGAGCTTTAGACATGTTGGAAAAGAAAATGTGAAAAGCAAGGAGCATGGGAAAGTACACTGATTCACTTGAGGAACAGGGGTTGGGGCTGTGGGTGAACTGTCCACTGGCAGAGTTGTCAGCGGATCGGGAGAGGGAGGAAAGGGACAGGAAGGGAGGTCTCGGTGGGAGCCACTCTGGGTTCATTACCTGCCGGGTGGTTGTACAACGGCCTCAGTTTTTCAGGCAGCAGGAGCTCCACTCTATCAAGGACCCGGTGGTAGGTGGCCCGCAGGCCCCGGACGCCGGCGGCTGACATTTCTGCGGACGAGTGATCGTGGGCAGCCGGGTGGTAGCGTGGCCGCGTGCTCGTCCCTGGCTGGCAATGTAGGGCAGCCCGTCACTCTCCCCTGTATCAACGCCTCGCGCCCTCTCTCCCCGGGTGCCTGCCCTCCCCGTGGCTGAGCCTGACCCCACAGCGAACCACCCTTTGGCCCTCGCCCAGAAAAGGTTGTGGGGGCGGAGACTCTGTGACGGCCCGCCCCGAGCCCGCCTACTGGCTTCTCACCGCCGGGACCCGGGAGGAGTGGCTAAAACAGGTGGCTAAAGGATGGCCTCACCGAGTCAACCCAGAGGCCTACAGGCAGCGCGCTTGCGCAACCAGAGATGCCCGCACTGATTGGCCCGTCCCGGGCGCAGGCAGGGTCCAAAGCAAGCCTCCAATTTCTTCTTCCTGCTCTGGAAGCCATGTTGGAGAAGGGAAAGTGAAGCTGCATCGGCGGATACCCTTTCACTTTGGTTAAGGAGGCCCCTAAATAAAATGGACTATTTGGGCCTTCCGGGCCCCGACTAAAGATGACGCCGCATAACTCTCTTGCTTCCTTTGGAATGAGACTCGTGAGCGCGAGACTTACGACTTCAGCTACTTCTCTATTCCTCATTTATCCATAGAGTATTAAGGATTTAATTAGAATGGCCTGAACCCAGTTTTCTAGGGTAAGGGCGGTCATGGCGCACACCTGCCTCAGTGCCCAGGGGTAGTCATATCGCGAGAAAGGTTTGGAAGGCGGGTGTAGAGAACCAGGAGAGGGAGGAGTCGAGGCCGCCTCCGCCTCCTCCTTCAGGAGGGGGTGCCGAGGGAGGGGACTGTTGCTGATCTCTGGTTGTTCTGGGTAGTCTGAGAAGGAGAGTATGAAGCGAGCGCCAGCCCGGGCACGGCCGGACTTCGCAGGCGAAGGCGCTGCCGCCGCCGCCGCCGCCGCCATCTAGCTCGCTGCGCTTGAGAGACCCGGCGCGTGGATGGTCCCGGGGCGGCTCGGGTGTTGATCCGCGTGTCTCTTCCCCCTGCTCCCCTCCCCCACGCGGTGGTCTCCCCTCCTCCCCCAGCCTGGCAGAGCCATGTCTCGGGGTGGCTCCTGCCCACACCTGTTGTGGGACGTGAGGAGAAGGTCCCTCGGGCTGGAGGACCCGTCCCGGCTGCGGAGCCGCTACCTCGGTGAGCAGGGGCCCCGGGGCGGGGGCGCGGAGGTCGCCGCCCCGAGGTGGGGGAGGGGGCCGCGTCGCGGTCTGTTGGAGACGGGACAGCTGCTGGGCGGGGGCGTCCCGGAGACTCTGAGGTGCCGGGTGGCCCGCAGCCGACGGACCCCGCGCCCTTGTCGTCCTCCCACGGCTAAGGCACTCTTTCACGCTGCCAGCCGCCGCCCTGGTCGGGTTTTCCTCCGGGGGCCGGACCTGGGGCGGACAGTATTGGCCGGGAAAGGTGTTGGGATCGTTTCAGGAGTGGGGCTTGCGGGAAGACTTGTCGAACCTCCCGGAGCTGCCGCGTTTAGAGCAAAAGTTGGCGCTTTTGCTCTTCAGCGCTCTCCCGGCTCAGCCGAAGGATCTAAGTTTGTGTTGACCGCCCCTCCTCTGAAGTCTCGGTTGGGCTTAGGTGTCGGCGGCGACGCGTTGACCACCCTCGGGGACTCCACGCTCCAAACAGAAGACTGGGGGTAAACTGTTCCGCGGCTCCGAGCCAGAACCTAAAAGTGATAGCCGAGCTGTCCCCACCCCCGCGCGCTTTCCCAGTTGGACTCTGCTGTTCAGTCGTTTAGATTGCTTTAAGGAGGTGTAGGGTTTCGCGTTCCCATTCCCACACCGGCGAAACACTTGGCATTTACTGTTTCTTAGTTAAGCTTTCTAAAAACAACCTTCGATACTTGAGGGAACGGTAGTCCAGTTTTTTTTTTTTTTTCGTTTTGTATAAGTGGATTTGTGAGGATTCTGGGTCACGCTTGAGCTAAAAGTGGATGGATTTAGTAAGACTTTTTTCTTCCTTCCTCTGCAATCTTATTACTCTTTATTCTTTTTTATTTTTAATTTGAAGGCAAGACAACATCATTAAAATTTTTTTCTTACCAATTTTGTCACTTTTATCTTAGGTATTTGTTGATGTCATTTAAATGCTTTAAATGTCATTTAAATGATTTTAAGTCAGATGGTTTTGACTTAAAATCAGTGAAAGAAATTGAAATCTCATTGCACCTAATAGTTCTGGTTTGTGATTATTTGAGAGAAGTTGACAGGCAATTTTTTTCTTTCCTCCTGCTTTTTTAGTGTCTCAAGTGACATGAGTACATTCTCCTTGTAAAAATGAAGCACAAATTCTTATGATTCTTCCCATTCGTTTCACACACACATCCTTAGAGGTAACAGTGTTCTGTTACCTGAATATTCTTCTAGACCTTTTCCTTTGAATTCTTACAAGCACATGTGTACATATAGAAATGCTGTAGGAGTGTGTGTGTGTGACCTACATGTATGATGTCATATTGTAAATATTGTTTTGCAGCTTGCCTTTCCATTACATCTTGGAGATCTTTGCATGGTCGTAGAAATATATCTGTGCAGTCTTTTAAACTGTTGCATAGTATTTAACAGTATGAAGGTGTCAAGATTGACTCAGCCTTCTTTCTTTTCCTGTACTTTTGCTGTTATTAACAGTGAACATCCTTTTATCAGTACGTGGTTTTTGTGCATTTCTTCTAGGATAAGTACCTGGAGTGGTGATTAATCATTTTAAAATTTAATATGAATAGAGAATGCTTTTTTAAACCATAACCTAAAAGATGTGCAATATTTCTTTTAATATTTACTTGCTGAGAACTTAATTTTAGCTTAATAAACAGAATACATGTTCTATATGAGTGAATTTATATGTGGTCCTTTATTTCAATTAGTTGGAGCATTTGAATGAGTAGTGATTATATTTAGTTTTATTATTAATGTTTTCTGCTGGCACAGTTCAGTTGTATCTGTGATAGAGTCAGTTAAAATATAGTTAAGATCATAAATTTTCTTTTTCCCTTTCTCTTCTAGCTCTATAATGGAAGTGAAGTTTGTCTTGGGTGGAGGGGAATTGAAGAATGTGACTTCACTGTCTTTAGTAGAAAGTCTAAATTACAGATTTTTCAAACATGTATATTCATACAATGAATTCCATGTCTTACATACTATTTTAAATGTGCTAGTGATATATACTTTATTGCATTCTTGGAACAGCTTCCTTTAAAAGTGGGGTTTTTTTAAAAGTGGGTTTTTTAAAGTATTCAGAAATAGTTTGAAAAGTAATTTCTTAGCCTTAAGAGACTTTCTTTACACTTTTAGTTTATCTAGCTCATCCACACTCCAGTGCTAATCTTGGCTTAGCATTCAGGAAACAGCAAAATTCATATTAGCACTGGCTGAATTAATGAGATTTTCTAAAAATAATTTTTAAAAATTTATTTATTTGGTGCACAGGGCCTTAGTGGTGGCATGTGGGATCTTCTGTTTTTGTTGCAGTATAATGAATCCTTAGTTGTGACCTGCAAGCTCTTAGTTGCCGCATGTGGGATCTGGTTCTCTGATTGGTCAGTGATTGTACCTGAAGTACTCATAAAATCTTTTTAAAAAGCCCCTTTTTAAAAAGGGTTTTAAAAAGTAAATGGATTCTTTTTTTTGGGAGACTTCAGTATTTAAACGTTTTGATTGTTTATAATATCATAGGTTAAATATTTCTCTAATTATGTCCATTATATATACTTATAATAGTGAATTACTTCTAAATAACAGTAAAATGGGATAGAAGCAACTTTTTTTTGTAACATGCATTTCAAATTAATCATAACATGTATCTTTTGAATAGCAGTATTGAAACATTGCAGGTGATTTTATTTAAATTTGGTTATTTATCTCTCTTCCTCCTATCAAAGAAAATTATTTCAACAGAAATTTATGTTTCAAAATTTGGGAAGTTGGAACACACCATGTGTGTTCACATGGTCAGGTTTTAAGTCTGCTGGGGGCCTGCTTCCTGGTTCATAACCATCTTTTCACTGTAACCTCACAAGGCACAAGAGGTGAGCTCATTCTCTGGGGTCTTTTTGATAAGGGCCCTAACCCAAGTCTTGGAGAAGGAAATGGCAACCCACTCCAGAATTCTTGCCTGGAAAATCCCATGGACAGAGGAGCCTGTTGGGTTACAGTCCGTGGGGTTGCAAAGAGTCTGACACAACTGAGCATGCACACACCCAAGCCTAATCACCTCCCCGAAATTCCTGTCTCCTAATACTAATACCTTGGGGGATAGAATTTCAACAGAGAAATTTGTCCGGAGGAGGCGGTTGGGGGAATAGGAACCACGAAGCCAGTGACAACTTTATAGTGAAGATTGAAATATCTTTTTGTAAGGGGATTAGAATGTCTCTGTCCTTTGAATATCATTAGGGTCACTATGTATTGAAATGGTTAATTTTGCATTTAGATTAGTCTTGTAGTGTATCTTGAGTACATCTATATTCAGACTTACAAAGTTCTTCACAAAGTGTTGCAAAGTTACAATATATTTTATAAGGGTCAGAAAATTCTGAGTGTTGCCCCTTTGTTAGCTACTGGGGAAAGTAAGTGAAAATATTTGTATTTTGTTTCCTTAGTCTTCAAAAAAAAAATCTCAATGAAAGCTGAAAAATGTCTGATTTTAATAGTGAGTGACAGATATGACAAATATATGTTAGAGAATATACTGATAATTCCTGAAGATTAGGCCACCAAATGCATATTATTAATCATAACGATGGCAGACCATTGAATAGCTCTGTTGTAGATTTCATTCCTACTTGGTGTAGAATTAAAGTGTTTAAAAGGGATAGGAACTTCTGATAGCATGAAATTTATATTACAGGTATGTTTTATGTCAGTGTTTTTCAAATGTTTTGACCATTATCCACAGTAATATTACAGTTACATGGCAATTTGTGATACACACATAACTAAAAAGATTTCCCAAATGACATTTAACCTTACTAAGTATGGTGCCAGAGCAGGAAATGGCAAGCCACTCCAGTGTTCTTGCCTGGAGAGTCCTGTGGACGGAGGAACCTGGTGGACTGCTGTCCTGCATAGAGTCGGACACGACTGAAGCGACTAAGCATGCATGCATGCATGCATTGGAGAAGGAAATGGCAACCCACTCCGGTATTCTTGCTTGGAGAATCCCAGGGATGGAGGAGCCTGGTGGGCTGCCGTCTATGGGGTCGCACAGTCGGACACGACTGAAGCGCTTTAGCAGCAGCAGCAGCAGCAGGTATGGTGTGTTCTGTTTTCATATCATGTTATTAAAAAATGTTGGTGTTTACCCAGTAGAATATCCACTGAAGAGTATTGGCTTGAGGTTTGCAAAACTACTAGGTGGTGTGTGTTTTTTATAGTTGTAATTGAATGTTAGGGTGACTGACTTAGGGTGGCAGATTAAAAAAATTTTTTTTGAATACTGCTGATAGCTAATGAAGATACAGATAATAAAACTTTAAATTTATACTTTGGCAAAGAATAAGTAGGGTAGGACACTTAAATCCTTGGCCTTTGTGTCCTGAGGCCTTTTCTTAGTTCTCCAACCAGGGATTGAACCCAGAGCCTTGGCAGTTAAAGCCCAGAGTTTTAACCACTGGACTGCTGGGGAATTCCTAAATCCTTGTTTCTTGAGTAATACTTACCATGGGATTTCTGAGTTGTGTGGTGTGTTTAACTCCGTAAGAAACTTTTTCAAAATAATCATACCATATGGCGTTCACATCTATAATGTTTGAGAGTTCTAGTTGTTACTTCTTATCAACACTTGGCATTATGTCTCCTTAATTTTAGCTTTTTAAATAGATATGTAGGTATAATGATACCATTATTGTTTTAATTTGCATTTGATTTAATTCTCATGATTAATGATTTTGAGTATATTTTCATGGCTTATTTGCCATCCATATGCTTTGGTTTAATATTTAGATTTACCTTCTTAATATTGTAATAGTTCTTTATGTAGCCTTTGATACAAATCCTTAACCAGATAGTGTATTTTGCAGATATTTTCTCCCTGTTGTGTCTTGTCTTTTTCTTGACAGCATCTTTTATAGTTCATGCTTTTTTGTGTGCTGTTTAAAGATTAATCTTTATCGTTAATCTTTACCTAATCCAAGGTGACAAAGATATACTGTGCTTTTTTCTAGAATTTT